TATTAGCTTATAATACGCTTATTAAGGTTATAAAGCGTAGTTATAATTATAAGGGTCGTAATAAAATCCGTATTAGCGCTCTACTTAAGTTTTTAAATAATATCCCTACTAAATACCTCTATATAATAATAAAAACCCTTAAATAAGTAGCTAAATAGGCTAAAAATAATAAAGAGGGTATATATAATAGTATATAGGATTATAAAAAGAGTTATTAACTTATATAAACTCTAAATAAGGAGTAATTAATTCGATATTTTTATATAGTATAATATAAGAGTTTATATAGGTATATATTAGGATATAATATAGTTAAGTTTAATACTTAGGTAATAAGGCCCTTATAGAGTTATAAGGTACTTATTAACTATAAACTAGAATATATACGCTTAGTTTAGCCTATAAAAAGCCGTAATTAACTATATAAAGGCTCCCCCTAAAGTTTAACGTTTCTAATAAAATTATAGAACTTTTATTTATTATATATTATTATTATATACTTTCCGTTCTTTTTAGTATTATAGATCCTTATAAGCGTTTATATTTCTATATATATACTTATAAGACCTTATAAATAAAACAATACCCCTATATATCGCTATAATTATATATAAATATTTACCCCTTATTTAAAATTTCTTTTTTAGTTTTTTATTTTATATATTACTACTTTTTTAAAATAATATATAGTGGTTTTTTTTTTTTAACTTTATAAGTATAAAAGATCGACCTTAACGGGATTACGCTTTTAAAAAAAATTATATAATATAATATACATTTTAATTATATAATATACGCAATATACCTTAAGTACGCGCTTAATATAATATAATAATTTTAATACAAAAACTACTATATAATTCGGGATAAGTAAGCTACTTTTTATATAGTAACACTAGCTAAAAAAGTTAATAATAGAGGTCGGCTATAATAATTAGCTATAATAGTTAGTTATAATAGTTAGAAATAGCTTTTTTTAACTCTAGAGGTTCTAAACTTTAATAATAATATAGAGGTTTTTAAAAAAAGAGCTAAATAGGCTAATATTTATTACTTTTTAAAGTTCGTAAAGATTTTTTTTATCCTTATTACTTCTAATATTGCCTAAAGCTCTATTTAAACTAAACAAATCTACTAAACAAATTTACTAAATAAACTTATTAATATATAAACTACTACTTAGATAGCTAGTTAGATAACTAGTTAAGAGGTTAACTAATTAAAATACTACCTTAATAAGAACCTACTCTCTTAGTATATAGTTAATAATTAGTAAGCTAGAACTTTCTAAAGATACTTATTAATAAGTCTACCCCTCTTAAGCTAAGTACCCTTAGCTAGCTCGATACTATAGCTATTATAACTAACGTAAATATACCTAAAAATTAATAAAATACTTTTTAATAATATAGAATTTAGCTAGGTAATAATACGAATATTATAAATAGCTAGGTTAATACGGACGTTAAAATCTAATATATTAATATTAATTTAGAAATTATATTTTATAAAGTTAGAAATCTTTTTAATATAAGCTATATTATAAATATAAAAGAATATATAAAAGGCCCCTTAACCCTTAATAAAAAGAAGTATATAATATAAAATCTAGTTACTTATACGGGTTAGTACTAAGAGGTCTTATATATATTAAAATAAATATAGCTCGCTTTTTAAATAACTAAAACTTAGAGGACTGCGGGGAAAGGTCGGGAGTTTTAATTAGTAATTAAGTATAGAGCGTAATATACTTAGTTTTTTTTAATACGTAATATATAATACGGCCCCAGTAGATTACTCTATTAGGGGGTCTTAAAATAATATAACTACGTATTAATCTTTTATTATATTAAATAATAATTATTATAAAATTAGAAAATAATTAGACCTATAATATAATTATTATATATATCTTTATAGTTTTTAATATTAAAATTATAAAGCGAACTTTTAAACGTTAATTTATAAAATAGGATTTATAATAAGAAGAGCGTACGGTCTTTTTAAAGATCTATTAATTCGTATTTAAGAATTATTTTTCTAATAATACTTAAATAATAAAAATATTCTTTTTTAACTCTAGTCTAAAGGATTTATAATTATAGCTATAAAATTATTAATATTTCGTTAACAAAATTAGCTTTAGTAATAATAAATACTAAAATAGCTCGTAATTATATAATAACGATTAAAAAAGTTCTTTTTTAATATACTAAAAGTTACTTATTATACTAAAGAGTATAATAAAGAGTATCTTTATATATAAGTTCGCTAATAAGCTTATATTATTAACTAAAATAAACTTTACTTTATATATTACAAAACCTTTTTATAATAAATCTAGGATTAGTTAAATAAAATAAGATATTATTATAAAAAGTTTACGACTCCTAAACTAAATTATATTTAGTTTTTAAATACGTATAATAAGTTTTTACTATTTAGATTTAAGATCTATATTAATATTAATACTTATTTATAATTTATTATATAGTTCTATATATAGGTTTCTATTTATATATCCCGGAATATACTTATATAATATCTTATTATTATTTAATAATAGGGATTTATATTATTACGAGTTTATTTAAACCAAGGGAAAGAAACCGTTTTTATATTTAGTATTTATTACTACTTTTTATAATACTATTTAATAATAAAAAGTCTAATTATATTCCGTAATTACTAAATCTTTAGTAAAAGTATTTATAACGTTAAGATTAAGAGTTAATAAAATCGTTTTTATTAAAATAGATTAGTATATTAATAAATAAGTAATATATATCTTAGTATATATAAATATACTTACGTTTATAAGAATACTTCTAACTACTTAAGTTCTAAAGGCTATTTTATATAGATATATTCTCTAACTAGATTATACTTTTATTTACGTATATATTACTAATTCGTTCTAATTTTATTAATTTTATATAAATTTAAAACTCTTATCGAATTTATTATTAAAAAGGTCGCCCTTACGTTATTTTTAATTAGTTATAGTAACTATATTATTAACTTACGTTACGAACTATATAAAACTTTATATAACTAATTAACTAAAACTAAGTTTAATAATTATTAAACGCTATTTAAAATAATAATAATCTAAACGCATATCTTCTTTAAGCTACTTTATAAATTTATACTTTAATTATTAAAGGCTCCCTAACTATATTAATTAAAAATACGAAGTTTAATAAGGTTAATTATCCTTATTTTAAAATATATTAATATCTTTATATTTATTTAAAGTAGTATATACGTAATAAGCTCTAATTAGAAATTACTTTACTTAGTAAATTATAGGGTAGTATTATATAAGTTAAATAAAAATTAAAAAACTTTAAAATTAATTTTAGAGTATTAAATAGCTTTATAATTACGAGTAATACTAAGGATAAAGAGGAATTATAAATATAATTATAATTTATTCTAAACTATTTATTAATAAGAATACTCGCTTCTATCCTTATAATATACTAAGTTATTTATTATTATAAACTTTATCTTCTTATCGAACTATTATAATCTCGTTTTTTTTATTATTTTTATCCTTTTTAACCTTTATTTTAGCCTTTACCTCCTTTTTAATAATCTTCTTTTCTTACTTAACTAACAATTCCTCCTTAATTTTTATTATTAATTTAATATTAATACTTATTAAAAACCGTATTTTCGGAATATTTTTATACGTCGTTTTGCTTAAAGTTTTAGTTATAATTCGCTTTATACGACCTTTTCCTTTCTTTACTAACTAAGGTTTAATAATTAATAACTTAATTTTAATTTAAAAAATAATAAAAAGTTAATAATTATCCTTTTTATATAAAATCGTAGCTTTAAAAAAGAATCTCTCTAAACTTATAGCTTTATATACTATTTTATAACATTCTAAAATATTATAAGAATTTTTTATATTAATTAGAAATACTATTTACTTTATTAAAAGAATTTATTAGTTTATTATAAAATATAAAATAATAAATCGTATTATATTTTAATATAAAATAAATATTAAAAAGCAATTAAACTAAACTTTTTTAATAAACTTTTTAATAACTTAGATATTAATATAAGTTATTATTTAGAAATTATTAAGTTCGTTTTTAAAAAAAGATATATTATATAATATAATAAAGATATTAATTATTAATAATTACTTTAGCTCCTTTTTTATTTATTAAATACTTTGTTCCCGCTTTTTTAAGCTTATAAAAAAAGATTTTATTAATATTAAAGTTTATACGTTTATACGTTCTTATTATATAAAAAGGGTAGAGCTTATATAAGTATTATTATCGATTAGTTGTTTTAAAATAGCTTTATAAAGAGGTATTATAAAATTAATTAGTTTAGTAACGTTTTATATAAAAATTAAAAATTATTAAAAATTTAGATTATAATATTTATAAGCGAGCCATTAGTTTAATAATTTAAATAAAAAGTAATTTTTACTTATAAAAGGGTAAAAAATAATAATTACTTTTATAATAAAGTTATAAAAAAAAAAGTTTTTATATTGGGGTATAATATTACGCAATTTTATATATTATTATATAGTTTAATATATTACGAAATTAAAGTATTTTTTAAATTATAAATCTCTATAACTACTATTTATAAGTTATTATACTAATTTAGACCCTATCCTAGGTAGTAAGGTAACCGTAAAATACGATTTCTATTTTAATATATAAAAAAAGTGTTTTGGCAGAGTGCCTCTTGTAGTCTGCCGTATGCCACGTTCAATTAAGGAGAGAGTGAACTCAAGCCTGAGTTGAGCGGAGATACTGACTTTGGGATGACTTGTTTAAAGCACGCTAAGGTGCGCCACAATCATCACTGTGGCTGGAATTGGAGATGCAATTAACATGTCTCCGCACCTCATTCCATCTCGAGATTGACAATTACAAGACTTCAACGAGAGAAACTAGACAACATAGGGCAAATGCACCCATGAGACCTTTCTGTGAATAATTGAAAATACCGATGTGATGGCTGGCGAAGGCGAGAGTCCAAGCAGCTCAGCCGAGCAAGAAGCTGAGACGGCAAACTCTGTCCCGCGCGGCAAGCGAGCGAGCAACGCGTGAGTGCAGCAACCTCCAGGCTCGGCATTCTCGGATGTGAGAGCAGGTATCAGTCAATCGGATTCTAATGATAATTCAAGTTGTACGCGGTGCCGTGAACGGAAGGTGAAGTGCTCGGGCTCATTACCTTGTGCGAATTGCCTGCGCAAGTCGGTGGAGTGCGTCTTTGATAAAGAAGATCGGAAGGTTGTCGTATCCGAGAGGTAATCCAGACCCGCTTTTACGTGTCTTTTGTTTTTCTTTGAAGCCCAAGATCTAACTATCCAAAGGTTTCTTAACGAGTTGAAACGCAAGTCGGGATATGGCGTCGAAGGGGAAATATCGACTTCACCAACAGCGAAACGATCTCGACGTCATCGGTCTACGTCGCCCGCTGATGCTGGCCTTCGTGATGGTAAGCCTTCATCTTGTATCGCGTTACTTAGTGGGATTTCACTTATCATAATAATTGCTACATGTAGTGGTTGATGAAACAACAGCACCAGTGTTGACAGAGGTCGGCCACGGAGCCTCGCCGCCGGCACGTAGTTTCAGTCTCGACGACGGCACGACTATCGTCGGCGGTGAGGATGGCCCGGAAGAACGCCGTGGTTTCTCAAACATGCGGAATCCATTAGCGAGCGGACCATCAAAGTTCCTCACGGATGCAACAGGTAGAAGGAGTGAGTAACTACTTGGCGTCATCGTTGCTTCTTTCAATCTAAGCGGCTTACAGGATGGCTGGGGCCTTCATCAACTTGGGCATACAGCCGACAGGTACTAAACATGATCCAGGGTCATCTCGGCCAACACGAATCTCCAGAGGTTCCTCTCAATGTTGATGCTGAAGCATTCAAGTTGGACTGGCCCTCGTCTAGAGACATCACCCCGCAAGTCACAGTTGACATTCCCTCCCTAGACTATGCTCTCTATCTCACGAATACGGTCAAGTTTCACCTCGGGCAGACATACCATCTCTTTGACGAGGAAAGCTTCATGACTGGGCTTCACGATCTCTACAGAACAGGACCGAAGCTGGAACCGACGGTAGATTCCAGATTGTGGTATATCCAATTCCTCATCATCATGGCTTTCGGGAAGGCTCTTTTAGTCCCTGGAAACCCAAATCAGACCCCTCCTGGAAGTGGTTTGGTGACGAGGGCTCTCGAGCTGCTTCCTGATGTTCATGGACTATATCAAGACCCTGTGCTATCCGTAGAGATACTATGCGGTCTTGCTCTATACTTGCAGTCGGTAGACCACAGAAACAGTGCTTATACCTACGTGAGTTGATGGCCAGCCTTAGTCACTTGCCGAGCCTTGTCGCTGATTCTAGCAGATCGGTCAAGCATTTCGGATTGCCATTTCGCAAGGGTTACATCGAGAACCACTAAGAAACCAACTCAACGACAGCGAGGCTAACAGACTCCGCTGCGTCTGGTGGACCCTGTATATCTTAGACCGCAAAATGTCATCCCTTATGGGCGCTCCCAATTCGATACAAGATAGCGACATCACCGTTCAACTGCCAAGATCAGATCCGGTTGTTCACAAGTATAAGGCACTCGGAATCCACGTTGTCCTGTCTCAGCTGCTTGCCAAGGTTTTGAATAGTGAGTTTAGAGAGCCCACATACAGGACTGGAACTCTCTAACCGAGACATAGCTGTATACGGCGTAGACGGAAAACTCGATCCTTCCTTTCTGAAGAGTGTCCAGGAAGTTTTAAGAGACATGGCAAGGCTAGCACCTCAGCTTACGGCGGGGTTCGAGTTCAAGTTCAACAACTCTGAGCCTGCGTCCAGGGTTTCCGCTACGCTGAACTTATGTTATCACCAAGTAAGTGAATTTCGAGAACCTTACTAAGCGTCTGGAAGCTGACTATCTCAAGTGTGTCGTTCTTGCCACACGCCCAATCCTCATGTGCCTCTTACAAGATGTTCTAGGAAGGCGAGGAAATTTGAACAGAGGCCTAGCGAGCCCAATCAAAGCACTCTTGAAGACATCATCAGATTCGGCAAACAAATCGCTTCGGATTCTGTCAACATTACAGTCTCAGCACCTACTAGGTAGGCATACATATGATCTACGAGCGGTCCTTACATGAACTGATGTGCTAGTCAGAATCTTTCCTCCCCTTTGACTTGGAGCAGGCGTTCTCATCAGCTTTCGTTCTTACTTTGATGACCTCCATGCCAAGTCTTTCCGAGCGAGATAACCGCTATATGCAAACTACGACTGATATCCTTGATACCATGATCGCGCGCGGTAACGTTGTGGCCCGGTGCCGGAAGGAAGAGCTCGAAAAGCTCCAAGAGATGCTGTGTCTCGCTCAACGTCAGCTCCATGCTCCACGGTCAGTTGCAGGTGACGGCAGCAGCGGTATGCAGGCTGAGAATCAGTCTTCACTGCGCATAGACGCTGGTGACCTTTCATTATCAACCGAACAACCCACAGAAGCCGGCCCGGCTACTGGCAGCACAACAAATGGGCTCGCTTCAGAACAAATGCTGTCCATAGCGGGCTTGCTCGATTGGGAACCGAATATGGCCGCTTTCGACGACGATCAGCTCGCGGGGAGTTGGTTATGGACCGAGGCGATTGCCCCGGATTTTGATTTTAGCGGGGGCTTGCTATGATTGACTAATAGGATACTAGACTGACCCTCGGATGTGTGCTTCCGAAATCAGGTCCGGAGGAAACAAGACAGCTTACGAAACTAGGCTCGCTGAAGAAAGACACGCCTCAGAGAGAGGGTCGAATTTGTAGATAGACAATCTAATCCCGCGGGGTAATCGTCCCATCGACGACGGCCAACAGCCGGCTTCAACACGTAGCTCCATATGCAGGTACTAAGGTAGTGAAGGCGCCAGGAGAAACCTTGCAACAAGCCCAAGTTAGATGGCGAGACTCTTATCAACTAAACCTGAACAAGACTTCGCGACATTCCAGTTCTCCAGATAGGGGCTTGTCCGAGTCAGTTGACTATCTGATACCAGCTTGCGGGTTGACAATCCGAGGATTTCTCCCCGCGTTTTCGACGCCTCGGGACCCACTCCCGAATCGCTTCCCCGGACCCACGGACTCGAGATAGTGACCAAGACTGGGGTGCCAAGGACTTATCTGGCAATTGACTAAAGTGAAGGCTCCGATTATAAGACTTTGATATGACACTGGCTATTCCGGCCTGGTGCTGCTGGGTTCATAGAGACACAGGAACTGGTCAACTTGGGTAAACTCTTTGAGTTTCTGTCGAGAAACAACACTCCGAAAATTTGGATGTTGCCATTTTTGCAGCAGTAGACACGCCAACTTTAACAGTCCAACTTCAGACAAGTCAACGATGGACCAAGAGAAGATGGAACCTGCGGGCTTGGAGAACCTATACCATCAACAAAGTGCGAAGATCGGCCAAGTCGAAGATCCATACATCCAGCCCGGCTACGACCTTCACAAACGTCTCGAAACGCGCCATGTCACGATGATTGCGCTTGGCGGTGCGCTTGGAACAGGATTGCTGATTGGAACGTAAGCTGTCTCCCCATACGAAAAATTACCGCCCTGGCGTTCGTTCTAACTCACCAATTTACAGAGGCTCGGCTCTAGTCAAGGCAGGCCCAGCCGGCATCCTCATCGACTACTCCATCGTCGGCTGCATCGTCTTCCTCGTCATGGCCGCCCTCGGCGAAATCATTTCTTACATGCCCCTCTCCCACGGCTTCGGCGGCTACGCGACACGCTTCGTCGACCCGGCTCTCGGCTTCGCGACGGGCTACTGCTACTTCTTCAAGTACCTCCTCGCCACGCCTAACCAACTCTCTGCCTTTGCCCTGATCATGAAGTTCTGGGTAGGGGACCGCATCAGCCCGGCCGTCTTCATCACCATTGCCCTGGTCCTGATTCTCCTGATCAACAGTATCAGCGTCAAGGCCTTTGGCGAGTTCGAGTTTTGGCTCTCATCTCTGAAAGTGGTCATCATGATTGGCGTCATCCTGCTGCTCTTCATCCTCGCCGTGGGCGGCGGTCCCACCGGCGACCGTCCCGGCTTCAGGTACTGGTCCGACCCGGGTGCTTTCGCCGAGTACAAGGTTGATGGTGCCCAGGGCCGTCTTCTCGGGGTCTGGAGCGCCATGGTGGCCGCCGTATACGCCTTCTCCGGCACGGAGCTCGTCGGCGTCACAGTCGGCGAGGCCAAGAACCCCCGTCTGTGCATGCCAAAGGCTGTTCGCCTGACCTTCATGCGCATCGTCTTCTTCTACATCATCTCCGTCTTCCTGCTGGGCATGGTTGTCCCTTATAACAGCGCCGAGCTCGTCTTCGCAGCTAAGGCCAAGACCAGTGCTGCGGCCTCGCCGTTTGTGGTGGCCATCACCATTGCCAAGATTAAGGGGCTCGATCACGTCATCAACGGTTGTCTTGTAGTGTTTGTCTTTTCGGCTGCGAACTCGGACATTTACATCTCGTCTCGCACGCTGTATGGCATCGCTGTCGATGGCAAAGCCCCTCGTATCTTTTCCAAGACTACCAAGGCCGGCGTGCCCCTCGTGGCTTTGGGTCTATGTGGCGTCTTCTGCTGTCTGGCGTACATGTCTGTCAGCTCCGGTGCTGCAACCGTCTTTGGCTACTTGACGAACGTCGTCACTGTCTTTGGTAAGTCTGTCGTGATGCTTGAATGAAAAGACCAACACTAACGCGTAATGTACCATAGGTCTGCTTACATGGATGTCCATTCTCGTCTCCCACATCTTCTTCTGCCGCGCCCGCACCGCCCAACGAATCGATGCTGCCTATATCCCGTATCGCGCTCCTCTGGGCTCTTGGGGCTCCTATGCCGCCCTCGGCTTCCTCATTGTCCTGACCTTGACTAAAGGTATCGAAGTGTTCGTCGGCACTTTCGACTACAAGAACTTCATCGTTCAGTACATTGGGATCCCTGTCTACCTGATCTGCATTTTTGGGTACAAGATCTTCAAAAAGTCCCATCGCGTTCGGGCTGAGACAGCCGACTTGGTCACGGGCGTGCCAGCAGAGACTGTTGCCGAGGAGAGAGCAGCGGTCGAGGCAGAAAGAAGGGAAAAGGAGGTAGCGATGGGGAAGAAGAGCGCATTTGCTAAGGTTTACCGGAAGGGGTTCTCATGGCTATTCTAAGACGAGTTGATAACATGTAACACTCCCATGCGAAACCTAAGGCTATACGCATTACACATAGTCAGTAGCATTATTTGGGCAAGTCGAATCTTTCAAAGCGGTCAGTTCGTTCCGTGTATGGGACATTTATGTGTGCAAGTTCCCCCATCGATCTCTCGACCCATTCAGATCGGGTGCTCAATCACAACTTTCTCCAGCGAAGCACCGCCATAGGCCACTCTCTGGATCTCCCGTAACCCGGCTTCGCCACCCTTGACAACAGTAATATTGGGGTGCTTCGGAGCCCTTTCGGCAGAGCCCAGAACATGTTCCATGACCCTACGCAAACGAACCGGAAATTCAGGGTCTTGCGGGTGACCCATGGCACCGACGCTACCAACGGGCCGGTAGCACGTGCAGAAACCAAAAGCCGGATCATGGGGCACGGGTTGCGTGCACGCAAGCTTGATAGACTTTTCCTCGACGCCTCCAGACAAGCTCCTACGGAGAAGCGTCGGCGTAGACGTCTCAGGGTCGGCGTTGGGGCCATGCAGACCGCTGCCAACAGTATCGAAGCCGGTAGTCAGGCTCACGCCGATATCCTTGGCAGCAGCGCGGATATCGCCAGTCACATCGGGGCTCTTATAGTCGAAGCAATGTGTAGCCCCGAGCAGCTGTAGCGCGGCGTGGTTCTTGACGGACGCAGTCGCGAAGATGGGATTGAATCCTGCCGCCTTTGCGAGCTGAATGGCCGCGACGCCGACGCTGCTGGCCCCGCCCCAAATCAGTATCGGCTTGTCGGTGCCATCAGTCCCGGTGACGCCCGCGGCGGGGAAGGCGAAACCGAGAATGTTGAAGATGGCGTCGGCGGCGGTCTGCGTCGTGAGAGCCAGGCCCCCGGCGTCTTTGAGAGCGAGGCCGGGAGGCAGCTTGAAGACAAGATCACTTTCGACGATGGCCTTGTCTTGATGTGTGCAAGCCGAAGATCTTTGGGGAAACCCGACAGGCGAGATACCGAGAACGGCGTCGCCGATTTGCAGGGTGGATTCGGGCCCGACTGCCTCGACGATGCCGGCGAACTCGAAGCCGGTGACGAAGGAGTTGAGGCCTACGTGAAAGAAGTTGAGATCGCAGGGGTTGATGCCCGAGTACTTTATTGAGACGAGGGCTTGAAGTTTTTGAGGTGTGTAGTCTTCCGTGACTTGCTTAATGGTGAGTTGGCCATCGGCACCTAAGTAAATTGAGCGAGACATTTTTTGTAAGTTGTTGTTCTTGGTGATGCTAGTAACTTAAGGTAGCTCATCTTAACATGAACCTTTGGCAAAATTGTGAGGTTTTATATCTGACTATTTAATAATCAAACGATACATAAAGAGCTCGTATGGCTCGGCCTGGACATCAAAAATGGCCGCGACCATCGGCGGTTCCCACTGTCAATGTCCGCTTCTCTCGGGATTATGAGAGAATACTGTCGTTGCGCCGAACGCCCCATGGCACCGGACTTAAGAACGTGCCGGGGTTGTCTAAAACGGCGGCAAATAGATTGGGTTTGTCTATGTGATCGATCAGTCGAAAATGATGAACCTTGGACAAGGCCGGAAGACAGACGATTATGCGGCCGACCGGAGCTACCCGGGAAGCCCATCCGGAGTAGCCCTTCGGTTCAACGCCGTACTTTCGGAGTCCGTGGCTAAAGATAGGCTAGAGGGCTTGCGCACAGCATGATCAGACTCAGCTTGACGTTTAGGTTTCAGTCAACTCTGCAATTTGTTCGTTGATGATATCTTTTCTTTTTAACTGTAAAAAACCTCCGCATCAGAATATCGTGTTCTACTACATACACCCGGTTGGCAATCACCAAGAAGATAGATTTTTTAGCCCATGCAATTATACAATACCTAATGGAGAGAACTTTTCCTCGAAACGACAACCCTTAGTTGTTGCTGAACGTCGGCTTCTTCAACAAGTTGCATCGAGCAACCGACGAGCTTTACAAGCTGAAAGAGCTCAGGTTTGCATACAAGAGGCAAAGTCGATCTTATCATCAGAAAGGGGAAGAAGCCCTACTTTCGCGGATTGAGCTATAGGATGTTTAGTTTCGTGCAATTATTCAGCTAGGGTATCTACGGGGTTGTATAATTATCACCGATATGGCATTTCCAACTTGTAAGTTCTTCATCTCCATCACCAAAGTTCAACGGACCAAATCAAATTCCCTTCACCCCTCCAGACTCCGTGGTTTGACATCCACAACCTTGTAGATCGAGCTTGATGCCTGGAGCACAACCCACGTTCGAGTTCTGCACACTTTGCAGATCTGGATCAAGCACCCGGAGTCTGTTGCTTTTCCGCGACAGGCGGTGCAACAGGCGCATATTGCGACGGCACGAGGCCGCCTCCAGGCTGCGGCGAGAAGACCTGGATCGTCCCATCGTACGGCCTCGTGGCGACCTTGTTCTTGCAGTTTGAGCAAATGTAGTGCATGTCCTCACACCACCCCGCGATGCAGGGCACGCATGTGAGGCAGATGCAGAGGAGGCAGCACAGAGCACCAGCAACCCTGAGGAAGTCCGCGTGTTAGCTAAACTGGTTCATGAAATACTCCCATAGAATCAAAATTAACTTACATTTGCATGGCAGTACCCTCTTTTGCAATGACCGTCTGCGTCCGCTGTTTGCAAAAGGGGCAGTCGATCCATTGCGGCTCGTCGCCCAGCATGTGCAACGGCGTGACGGTCGCTGGGTTCGCGAGGGGGGTAATGGTCGGACCGCCCTTTTGTTGAGCGGGCATTGGTGTTGCTGGTTGTCTGCCCAATTTATCAGTATTTTCTAAGAAGGTGACGGTGTTCTAGGAGACACTTACTCAAGCTGCACTAGGTTCGCTGGCATCTCTCTGGCAGGGGCAGGACCGCTTCCTTGCACAGTAGATGTCACTGGTGATTCTCTCTCATAGGCTGGCGCCGGCTCTTGAATGTCGATCGCTGGGGGAGAAGCAGTCTTTTGTTCCGACATCTTTGATTTTGAGGTCTGCTTAGTGGTGTAAGATGACGAAATTACTGAATTGTTGGATATCACGGCTGTACGGTCTGTAAGTCACTACGAATGACTTGGATAATTGAGGAAAAGTTGAAGGAAGATAGATCAATGTTGAACAGAGAGACTAAAGGAAGAAGATGATAAAATACAGACTTTTGAGATGACGAGCGCTTGTTCCTTTTCCACTTCATGTAAAACTCTCCCTCCAGGTAAGATTGCCTTCAGTGCGCGTGAGCACTACCAAGGTGGCACTAACAGCGGCACAGCATCGCAGGAATCCACAATCAGGCAGAACCGTAACATCGACAACGATCGCCATTGGTGCTTACGGGAATAGACTCGCTTGGCAGGGGACAGATGTCTCTCCCGGGTCGCCCCCCCAAGGCTCTACGAGTTGGTGTGGGCGGCGCAGCCCTACAACCAGGGCGATTGCGCCTCGTGTATGAAATGCGAGGGTCGTGCCGTTGTGGTGACTAGGGGCAGAGCTGAGAGACACCCTGGGAATCTTACACCCACGCGCTTGGGATGACCAGATGATAGGTGGTCTTACCTGCCTAATGCAGTTTCAATGGCGAAGCAATATCCGATGTTACACCACTTTCTCCCGTCCTCCATTATGATAGAGCAGGGGGAGCAGACATGACGATCGGATAGCGCAGCCTTACTTCGACTTCACGAATCCAATGACTTTTCTGACACAGCCTCTTTCTTATGCAGTAGCGCTCCTTTGAACTTCATCACCACTCTAATTCAATGATCAGAAGTCGGTCCGTTGATGCAGCTGGGAGTCCACGTTCAGGACATGTTGATGTAGTCCCACCAACCCACCGGCCTCTTTGAAAGTCACCCCAGATGGACTGAGCATCCACAATTCCAACATCGAATTGCCATCGCAACCTCAAGATGCGCTTAATCAAAGCTTCATCCATACACAGCAGCAACCTCCAGCTCGTCGACTTCAACCCCGACCAGCTCCCCCGGTACGCCATTCTCTCGCACACCTGGGGCGACAACGAAGTCATCTACGCCGATATTAGAAACGAAAATGCCGCCACCAAACCAGCTTTCCAAAAGGTCCGCTATAGCTGCATCCAAACCCTGGCAGACGGCCTCGAATACGTCTGGATCGACTCATGCTGCATCGACAAAAGCAGCAGCGCGGAGCTCTCCGAGGCCATCAATTCCATGTACGAGTGGTACATGAAGTCAGAAGTCTGCTACACTTACCTCTCTGGCGTCCCCGCCAACGTCGACCCTGTCAAGACGGACGGCGCGTTTGCCTCGTGCCGGTGGTTCACGCGCGGCTGGACGCTTCAGGAACTAATCGCCCCGGCCGAGATGGTCTTCTTCTCCGAGGACTGGGTGAAAGTTGGAGAGAAGACGACGCTGAGCAGGCCTCTATCCGTCATCACAGGCATAGACGAAGACATCCTCACGGGCCTCAGACCCCTCGAATCTGCGAGCCTCGCCAAGCGCATGTCCTGGGCAGCGCACCGGCAGACGACGAGACCAGAAGATGTGGCCTACTGCCTGATGGGCCTCTTTGGCGTCAACATGCCCATGCTCTACGGCGAAGGCGACCGCGCCTTCCTCCGCCTCCAAGAGGAAATCATGAAGCAGTCCGACGACCAGTCTCTCTTCGCCTGGGTCGACCTCTCTGCCTCAACCGAGACCTACCACGGCCTGCTGGCCAAGTCGCCGGCCAACTTCGCCTACTCCAACTCCATCATGCCTTACCAGGACTGGGAGCCGCGGCCGCCGTACTTCATGAGCAACCGCGGCCTGCGCATCGATCTACCCCTGACGCTGCGCGACCAAGACATCTTCGTCGCCGCGCTCGACTGTCCCGCGCCGCCGGACTACGAAGACTCTACTTTCCTAGCAATCTACCTCAAAAAGATTTCGAGCGGCGGAGATCAGCAATTCGCCCGCGTGCGGGTGACCCAGTTCGCCAAGGTCCAGGAGCGGGGGAACAAGCAGACGCTCTACGTGCGGCAGACGTTCAACGGCGTCGCGGACGCGGAGGGTGTGTTTCCGCAGCACATCATCCAGCTCCGAAAGGGTCCGCCGCGTGACCAGTACTCGGTGCTGAATCTCGTGCACTCCAAGGAGGCCGACAGAGGGGACCGGCCGGCGGCGTGCACGTCGAGCAGGGGTTCCGGAAGGGACTTGATCCACACGGCGACGGGGAAGACGATTGCTTTCCGCATCCCGAAGGCGGCGGGCCAGCTCGCCGGGGCCGTCACATTCGCGCGGACGGACGGGTCCCGGCTGCTCATCATGTTCGGGTCCACGGACGGCATCCGAGCCGGGTTCCACGCCCGCGAGCTACCGCCTGGTTTCCCGGGCATGAACCAGAACCAGAACCAGAACCAAGCAAAGAGTACGAGCTCATCAAAAGCAAAGGAGAACCAACAACAAGATCCACCAGAAGTCACCTTCTCATTCGACGACTTGCAGACGATGTTCCGGCCGACCCCTGCGGGCGTCGACGTGGAGCTGGAGCGGTTCCGGGTGCGCGTCGACGTGGAGACGGTGATTGCCAACGCGAGCAAGTACCTCATGGCCGACGTGCTCATCGAACCCGTCAACCGGCCGTGGGACCCGTTTGAGCCGCTGGACGCGGCTCTCGGATGGTACGAGGGGGCGACGGGGCGGCAGAATCGGGGGCAGGCTGCCGCAGCTCAAGCGGCGACGGCGCAAGCGATGGCGACTACTAGTACTAGTGTGAAAACGAAGAGAGCCTCTTCTGGGTGGAGGAGGTTGATATCGTGAGTTATGTCTGGCTTCGATGAGATTGCATGTTGCGATAGCTAGGACACAAGAGGACTTGGATATGGAGGAGGGAAAAGGGGCACATGAATCGAGGGAGATACTACATGGCTGAAGAGAGTATACTGGCGTTCAAGGTGTACATGCTAGCATTCTATAGGTGATTGAATTTCAAGAATTAAGATAGGGCAATATGCCCCCTTTGATGTCATAAAGTCCGGTATCATGTTCAGTTAATAACGGTATCAAGAGTCAAGCTCCGAAATCTCTCCCTCTTTCCTTGCTTCAGGGGCCAACCTAAAAGGCATCAGCGACTTACAGGTAGAAGTCCCCTTATCCTCTCTAAGAGCCCTTTCCACAACCACCATCACCACGTGCCGGCAGCAACGGCGTACCAGTGCCGCCAGAGATGGTAGAAAGGTCAAGATCAGTATGTGCTGACCTTGCGGTTGCTGACATTGCACGCGCTGACGATGCACGTGGCTGGTCCGCAACAGGTGCAATGATCAAGGTCCAACTGCTTCAATGCTGAGGCATGGAAGAGATAAGAACTAAAACTTGACCATGGTGGATTAAAAGAGAGGTGATCCTGGGAAGCCTCCTCTTGAACTCGGTGGTGATAGGTATTGCTATCGCAAGGTACCGGGTAACTTTCGTCGACTCATACCATCCATCACGTGACCCTCAATGACTCACCAATACAGAGCTCTATCACTTCTTAGGTAATCGACATAAATTGGAACTCCCTCCGATACGGAGCAGCTCTTAGCTAACTTTTTTTGAAGTTACTCAATTCAACCCCTCTAGATACCCCATATACCCCCGCCAGATACCAACGCAGTCATCATGGCACCTGGAAAGACGCCTGCAGAGAACATGCTTTGGGGTGGCCGCTTCACAGGTAAGCTTGTTTTTCCCCCAATAAGTTCAATTGGCAAGTTCAATTGCAGTTGTGCTAACCCAGAAATGAACAGGCGGCCTCGATCCCCTCATGCTCAAGTACAATGCGAGTATAGGATACGACAAGCTCCTGTTCAAGGAGGATATCCTCGGCAGCATCGCGTTTGCGCGCGCCAACGCAAAGTCCGGCATCATCACCAACGACGAGTTTTCCGAAATCGAGAGGGGACTCCGGGAGGTGCAGAAGGAGTGGGAGGCTGATACCTTTGTCATCATGCCCAACGACGAAGATATCCACACTGCCAACGAGCGCCGGCTCGGCGAGATCATCGGCAAGGACATCGCCGGCAAGCTGCACACCGGTCGCAGTCGCAATGAGCAGGTCGCCTGTGACATGCGCCTGTGGCTGAACAACCAGATCAAGGAGATTGAGAGCCACCTGGTCGCCTTTATCGAGGTGATTGCCGCCCGCGCCGAGGCGGAGGTGTAAGTCTGAGCATCACCCCGCAAATCCGGCAACCTCCCCTTGCTAATCTTTCAAATAGTGGCATTCTCATGCCTGGATATACCCATCTCCAGCGCGCCATGCCGGTCCGGTGGTCGCAGCACCTGCTGTCGTACGGCTTCGCCTTCCAGAGTGATCTCGACCGTCTGCGCGAGGTTTCCAAGCGCGTGAACAGGAGCCCGCTCGGCGCTGGTGCTCTCGCCGGCAACGGCTTCAACATCGACCGCGATATGATGGCTGAGGAGCTGGGCTTCACAGGCCTCCTGTGGAACTCCATGGGCGCCGTTGGCGACAGAGACTTCGTCACTGAGTTCCTGCAATGGGGAAGCATGTTCATGCAACATACTTCTCGATGGGCCGAGGATCTCATCCTGTACTCCTCTTCAGAATTCGGCTTCATTTCAATCGCCGATGCGTACTCCACTGGAAGTTCGTTGATGCCGAACAAGAAGAACCCGGATGGCTTGGAGTTGTTGCGCGGAAAGGCTGGTCGAACCTTTGGCCACATGGCCGGCCTGATGATGACCCAGAAGGGTCTCCCCAGCACATACCAAAAGGATTTGCAGGAGAGTTGGGAGCCCATGTTGGACCACGTCAAGACCATCTCTGATAGTCTTCAGATCGCACAGGGCATTCTCGTCACTCTGACCGTCAGGCCAGAGCGCATGAAGGCTGCCCTGGACCCTTTCATGCTGGCTACCGATCTGGCTGATTACCTCGTACGAAAGGGCGTCCCCTTCCGCGAGACGCACCACATTTCTGGCCGATGCGTCGCCGAGAGCGAGAAGCGCGGTATCCCGATGAACGAGCTCTCGCTGGAGCAATTGCAGGCTATTGACAGCCGATTTGGGGAGGATGTTGCGCAGACGTTTGACTATGAGAGGAGCGTCGAGATGAGGGCGTCCAAGGGTGGTACGAGCCGGGCCAAGGTTCTGGAGCAGGTCCAGGTTCTTAAGGGCATGCTTGCTTAGAGAGGTGTTTGACAGCTGGGACTCAAGAAGGGCAGGTTCTAGAGGGATTTAAAAAAGGCGTATTGGTAGAAAGGTGTTAGGTTCCGAAGTAGCCCGTCGGGGGGACTAGAAGGTTGAGGTGGTTTATCAAGGTGAATTTGAGCAAGCGTGATCAAGGACTGAGCGAGAGCGGCTCCGCCTACTTGGCTGGCCTGGGCCAAGCCTCGTCCAGTTTTCTTCTGGCTCATAACGGATAGAAAAATAAAACAGAATCACATACTTATCAAACAATCACACTGTTCAAGCATTCACCAATTGCTATCAACACCGCCATTTTTGAGATAAACTTCGAGATCTCAGTGTTTTAAAATAGCCTTTCTCTTCCTCGACCAGGTTCATAGTCAAGCTCAATGGCCTCAAGATGAGAAAAGCTTAGTAGACACAACCTTGCCCAGATCTCGTGGTAGACTACCTGCCAAGTAGCCCAAGGTAAGTATTAGCGTACTAATATGTGAAAGACGAAGAGAAAAGACCCGACCCACACAGCCACTCACTGACCGCCGTTTCCCACGGTCCCCCTTCCCCGCCCCTCCTTCCGGCCCCAGAACCCGGCCGGGTGCTTTCCCACCCCCGTCCTCTGCGCAGCGTAGCGCCGTAGCCTCCCTCACAGGCTCACAAGCTCACAGCTATACGTGAGAAGTCCAATCGGTTCCAATCGGGTAGAAAAGTCGGGCAGAGGAAGGAAATCGGCTCAAACTCGCAACTCTCTAATTTTTGAGGTACAGGAAATGTACCCGACCTATCCTTCGAGTTACATCGCTCGTCACCAAAGATTCTTAGGGACGAAAAAATGCACCGAAAAAGCTGAACTACCCGCTAATTATCGCGCCTTGCTGTAAGGTATCATTGTGCCATTCAGTCGTTGGAGGAAGGCTCGCACTCTTGGGAGTCAAGTATCATACCTGAACCGCTGTAAGCGAATGCGCTTGCTGACCCTGCCTATTCACCATCATTCGATTCTTTAATATAGTTGTACACATGCAATTCGCAGACGCATAGACACAGCGTGGAAGAAAAAACACGTGCAAATCGCGCCCCGTCTCGTAAATTCGGCCGGCGAATCGGTGTCCCCCCGCCTCAAAATCACCCGGAGACTCGACCCGGCCCCCCCCCCCCCCCTCACCTTCTTCCTTCCCCGAACCCAATGACGAGGGGAAAGCAAAGTACCCGACCTCACCTATGATCCTCTGTACCTAAGGTAGGTACTCCTCCGCACTCTGTACTCCGTATCGTACTCTCGCAAACGCAAAAAGACAGAGGTGCTGATAATCCAATGAAAACCCCGCTGCTCACCGAAAAATAAAGAGGCAAAGCGATGTCGCCTCCCGAACACGCTGCTCAAAGTCATTCGCCCATGGGGCCAGGCCTTACAACTCTGGCCGTGCCAATCCCCACGTTTCTCCGTTCCCCCGTTTTCCCACAATGAAGGTAGTAGTTCCCAAAGTCCCCCTTCCGGACCCTTCTTGCCTTCCATCCCCCTCCCCGAGTATCCGCGCCATCCTCCAACCCAGCGCCAGCCCAGACTCAGCCAGCCCAAGATAGGGTAGTTGGGTAGGCACGCTGGCGCGGTAGCGTAGCCTCCCATCCGTAGGTCGCCCGCCCATTTCATCCCGCTGATCCGCTGCACGTCATCACCCATCGCTCCCGGTGCCATCGCCATCGCCATTATCAAACACACCGCCCTTGGGGTACGGTAGGCATGAGTCCCGGCCCATGATTGAACATGAAAAGTTTCGCCTCCCCTCCCCGCTCGGCAGAAACGCCTCCTTACCAGCGGCATTGGCTTGGTGCGGCATTGGCTTGGTGCGGCATATGACTTGTGATGGCAGTGGTGTCCTGCCGTCTAGGTTGGCGAGCGGTTGCCACAGGCAGGTGAAATCCAGGAAGTACTCTGGTCTGACACTAGACACGTGGGAATGGCTTGGGAACACTGGCATGTTGGCCCGGGAGCGTAATGGGTAATGGCGCAAGTAAACATTTCATTAGAGCTGCGAGGCTCTTCTATGGAAACCCAATCTATCATAGGAAACCAAAACACACACGCATAAAATCATCCATCACTCGTGCTGCTCCGTAACAGAAATGTAAAAAACAAGATGCTGGTCGTCAATCCGTCATCGTCGTCAATCTATGCCATCATCCCTGTATGCTCGTCGTGAAACATCAGTGTGCGCCGATAAGAGGCCTCGTACTGCGGCGAAGAGACGAGACCAGACGCTGTATATCGTTGTGGTTATTATTCATGGTTGTTGTAAAACGTATAATGAGTGCCTTGAAATCGACAGGCAATCATGGCCCGCTCATGGGCTAGGACTAGGGCTGGGACTCTCGTACTCCATAATCTCGATGGAGTAGTAGGGAAGCTCTCGCGCCAGCGTGCCGCTGTCACAAAAGAATAAAGTGCCTTCAACCTCACTCTCGGGCTCCTCGACTTCGTCGATACGAGGCGGAGGTGGATCTTGGAATAGGATAAAGCTGTGCCTGTGGCTGTCCCCGTAACGTCGCCGGAGTCTGCGTGCGCTGGAGCCAACATCGTCTGCGTCGAGGGGTGTCATATCTTCGTGGTCAGAGTCGCTACGTTCTGATATGGTGCGCTTGCCAATGCTAGATCCGTGGGTCCGCCGCTTGCGCATCTTCAGCTCCCGTTGCATACGCACAAACTCGCGGTGAGCCTCATCGGCATCTAGGTCGTTATCCGAGCCTTCAGAGCTGCTTCCATCGAATCCGAGATTCCTCATCTCCTGAGTGAAGCCAGGAGGGAGCCCTTTAGGTGGCGGTGCCCGTGAGCGAGAGCGAGCAGATGACGGGGAGGAGAAGCCGGAGGGGGCAATGGTGCCGCTGCGGTCTTGATCCATTGGGTCAAAGTCGGAAAGCTCTTCCAGTGTGAAATTCGCCTTGACAGTCGAGGTGGTGGTAGCGGTGACAATGTGGTGAATCTCTTGGATAGGAGGGGTGGCCAGAGACTCTGATTCCGAATCAGAGTCAGACTCCTCGTCTTCGTCTTCATCTTCTTCCTCCTCATCCGATTCTTCTCCAGAACTGCTGTCGACGGCCATACGGGAGGCCGGCATCGGCACAGACCTCGGAGCGAACATGGAAGCGGACACGGATGCTGGCACCGGGGTAGGCGTTGGAGCCGGGGCCGGAGGAGCGAAGCGCATAGGCGTATCGTCGTCCGAGTCTTCCGATTCTTCGTCGTCTGAATCTTCATCTTCGTCTTCATCATCGCTGTCTTCATCTTTGTCGTCTTCTTCCTCATCGTTGGTCCTAGGTCTTACGTGAGGTACCTGGCGTTGTTCAGATTCGGGTTCGGACTCGGATTCATCCTCTTCGTCAGACTCAGAGGAGTCTTCGGAAGAAGTGCGGGGTGACAAGTGAGCAAAGCGATTAGAGGGCGTGAAACTGAATTCGTGGCCATTGCCAGTAGGCTGAATGCTGGAGTCATCCAGTATGATTTGGTGATGCCATTGCGGCAAGTGTCGTGCAGCCAACTTACGATTCGCCATTGGCGCGGTGGTGGTAGGGGTATGAGGGGGTGAGTTTGGTCCTCCAAGAGGGCCCAGCATCATGCTGGGCGTCGCCGGCCGCGACTTGCGAGGCATGCTTAATGGCGCCTGCGATACGGCAATTGAGGTGCTGCCTCTCTGATGCGCCTCAAGGGCCGATTTTTTGTATCTGTGGCTCGAGTCTCCTTTGTGTGTTGGCGATTTATCGATCGTGTCTTTGTTGCGGAACTCGAGTTTTTTTTCTCTGTTCTGTATCCCTCGATCTTGCGGGGAAGATAAAGTTGAGCGGGCAAATGAGATCAGATCAGCTCCAACGAGCGACAGCCAGTAGATCGGCTTGGTTATGTGATTGGTTCCGATGAAGGTGGTATATCAAGTGAAGTAGCAAAAGTCAAGGCGTCAACACCCAGAGTAAAAACCTCCGACAAGGAGAAGAGGATATTCGGCTGAAGCTGTAGGTTGTCATGATAGATCTGGCGGGAAATGCTTGAGATTGAGCGAAAGCGCGCGGGAGGAAGCGGACCAGTTCGAATGCACTCAAGGAGCAACACAAGCCAGGGTCTCTTCTAGGAATGGAAGCACAGTTCAGGCCACTGGTAAGTGACGGAAAGTCCCCAATGTTCGTTCTCTTTCGAAAGAGAAATCGGGGTTTCCAACCAGCTGGGTGTCACTGACCCGACACTGACAAGAGAGACAGCGGGGAGGAATGTTTCGGGGGAGACACCGTGGGATGTGCGGGATCCCGGGTGTGGGGTCGACGAAAATCGGGCGGGCGGTGACGATAGGACCACGGGCTTTGTCCAGGGTGACCAGGGACTGCCTTGTTGAGGGGCTGCGGGTAGCAGTACGAAATGGCTGATTGAGAAGAAGAAGAAAGGCCACAGGGTGGTGCAATGCGCACGCGAGCAGGAATAGTACCAGTGAGGTGACTTCGGCTGCTGGCCTAGGGGAATGTATTGGACGGAAGAGAGTTGGGGAAAGTCGAAGACAAGCGTGGGGGACCTGGGTCAAGAAGAAAGGCTCAGGAATTTGTCGGGCAAGAGGTGCGTGGGATGAATACCGTGGAAGAACACCAGAGGAACGACAACAACAGATTGCCGGAGCAAGCAATTCCGAGTCTGAATCCGAATCTGAGTCTGGCTGGGTTTGTTGTGATGCGTTGTCGTCTCAAGTGGAATGGCAAGCCAAAAGAACGGACTGCCGATTGTATAATTCCTCGCTGGATTCTGGATTTGTGGATGTCCGAGCTGTCGGCGGTAATGGTGGTGGTGAGCAAGTCTCACGGTGTTGCTTGAATTAACCGTCCAAAATGTGTACTAAATGACTCCCGTGATAGGCCGAGAGCGGGTCGTTGGCACGGCCAGACAGTCCCGGTCTTATAGGTGTGGCTGCTATAATGCTTGAATTCCCACCGATCGACCCTTTGCGCTGACTAGCAGAGGGGATGGGAATCGAACGTGATATGACGGCCAGACGGTTGATGGTCGAGCGAAAGGTAGACCCAAGTCAACCACAAGAAGAGAAGAGGGGAGAGGGGAAACGAGAAAAAAGATTTTCTAATAGTCTGTGGGATGGGGAGAGAATTAAGAATTAAAAGAAGTCATTGCACATGTGCGCTGCAGCTCTGCGGCATGCCCATGCCCATGCCATTCCATGCAGCAAAGAAACTCCATCCCTTGGTCACCTAAGGTAAGGTAGAGAAGGAGGGAGAGCCTCTTCTCGCCCACCTGCTGCAAGTTGCAACTGGTGCTGCTAGAGCCGTGTGGGTGCCCGCCAGCTGCTTTACTGCGGTGTAATCTCATTGCTGGCGCGAGTGCTCCTGCGAAGGACTCCATAGTGCCACTGCTGGATACTGTAACCCTCGTGGAGTTCTTCCTATCAGAACTAAAAGTCTGGTCTAGCCGGCGGTTGGGGTTGGTTGCGGTTCCTCTTTTGCGCATTCTCGCGGGGCGCAAAGTTGGACTTTGGGCAGCAATGCTCCAGGACTCCCCCGGTCTAACCGTGTGTCCCGCAGCGGCGTCGAGAGAATTTCATGTGTGTGTGTGTGTGTGTGCTCGCGCGTTTGCGGATACCGCAGCAGCGTACGGGCTGACTGGACCGGGGCCGCCATGGCTTGACTGGTTGCTCGGCTGGAATGGGCTGGAATGGGGGTTCTGAACGGTATCAAGCGAAGGAGGACGTCCAATGCGCGAGAGTTGAGAGGGCGTGATGCGAAGGAGGGGTAATGGAGGGGTGTGGCTGTGGATAGGCGCCAGATCGCCGACTATTGGCGATTCTTGGTCGGCCTCTTTTTTTCTTAGCTGGAGCCCTATTTGGCCTGTCAAGCCTTTCTCCCACAGCCTGTTGGATAATAACACTTCATTCACCCTTTGGTGGGGTTCTGGTCTCGGTTTAGGTCTAGAGTCTAGACTGATTATTGTCCTCGCCGTTGACTGTGCCTGGTCCTTGCGAAGCTTGATGCTCAGTTCAACGTCTGTTCTGTGGTGTAATATGGAAGTCTGACACCGTGAGAGGGCATGTTTCGTCAACGTCCACGGAGCATGACGCTGTCCCTTCTTGGGACGATGCTGCGCGTGTCTGTCAGAGACTGGCTGATGAATACGATCGGTAAAAATACGTGCCTCTCGCTGAAGACGATGGCAAGGTATCGAGCATCAGTACCTAGGCTCTGGCCATAGGCACCCGTCCAGTAGCAGAAGGAGACCTGATAGGCGTGGAAAAATTCATAAGACTGCTGTGAACGATTAGAAGATTGCAAGAATTAGAAGAGGGATGGCTGTGTGACAGCACTTGTGCCCAATCATCGAGGGCCGAGATTGCCTAGACGAAAGGCGTTTTCAACGACTTGCATTCTTTTCTGCAGCATGGCGCCACGAGAAGTTCCCTCTTCCTCGAGCCACCGCATAGCTGCAGCAAAGAGCCTAAGAGCCTCAAGGATTACGTGTGAGACAGAAAAAAACGAAAGGGAAAAAAACACGGCGGAATTGATTGACTGAGAGGAATGACTTCTTGTGTACTGTATTCGTAGGTAGCCTGAGCCTCTCTGAGGTGTAATGGAGGGGTAGATGTGACGAGGGGCAGGATGCATCATGCTCGTGGCCGGGTCAGATTTGTGGAGAGTAAGAAAAAGAAGGCGGTCAGAATGCACACGCCCGCCGCCCCCAGACTCTGAGCCATAGACGGAAGGACCAGAAACGAAAACTGGCAGGAGCAAGAGTAACGTCAGGTAGGAGAAAGAGCAGGAGCGACCGCCACAGTCATCAGTGCCTTCCTGCTTCTTTCCGTCTCTTTCCAATTCCATGGTAACACAACAACGCACATGTCGCAGGGTGGGAAGGTGGGAAGGTGGGAAGATGCCGCCGTGACTGGAAGTCGCGACTTGCAAATTACAATTCCATTTCCTGCGGTGAACTTCTAGAAGGCAAGCCAACAAGGTCAAGTGCATGAAACGGCAGCTTTGCGTCGGGCCTCGACGTTGTGTCACTCATATTCCGTCCAAAACGGCACTTGCACCCAGCTCTGGGGGTTTTGTTAGTCAAGTCCAGCCTGCCGCCCTGCCCACATCATTGGGAATATCATCGCCAATACAGCCAGCCACCTGGCACTGCCATCATCCATCACTATCGTCATCTCAGAACGCCTGCGCGAATCACCAAATTCTTGCAGTCGGGTTTTCTCCGTCCACAGTACAAGTAGACCTACGTAGTAGACCACAGCACCCTTGAAGAGACTGGGATGCATAGGTGGGCGGGCACTGGGCAGTTCCTAGACTGGCATGGTTCCCTGCAGCCCAACGCTGACGGACCCTCTTCTTAGCCTTTCTTCCATTCCTTGCTCGATGAGAAGAACCCTCATCCCCAGCGGCAAGGCCCGATTACACATGATTTGTTTGCTTCGCTGACAACAGCCGGTTCTTTCTTACCCCAGTAGTCTTGTTGCTACTCGGCTCTGCTGAGAAACGTGGGATCAAGTAGACTGTGTATTCTATCATTCCATTGGTGAGATGTGATATACCCTCAAGACTCTCAGTGTCCAGACTGATACCCAAGATCCTCGAGGGGTTTCTTCCAGAAGCACGAAAAAGGCATCGTCGTTCTTCCTTCCGCGTTAGGGCATGACCCCCCTTCTTTCCACCTCTTCGTCTATGCACTGCATCGTCAACTTGCGCAAGTGTGCATTTGGGAGTTCGCGCCAGAGTGGGCAACCCAACGACCCAAAGGCCCCCGTTCATCTGCAGGTCCGACGGGCCTTTCCCGCAGGAAGACCGGCCTGAGAGCAACTCCACGTGTGGCCGTCGATGGTGGGCTGGTGGTGTGCGTGTGAGGGCCCCATGTCTTGTTCGAGAAGCCTGCTTTTTGTGGAAGAACAAGGAACCTTTGCCTTGCTAATTGAGGCTCTGCGATTCTGCAACCAAATTGGTGTCTTTTGGGTCCCAGCGGAGCAGAGGGATATCTGCAATTTGCGTCCATCGGACAAGAATGAGACCTGGTGGTGATGCTTACATTTTGAGATTCGTAAAGGGCACTTTCCCGCCAACAAACGAGTTGCCCCCATCGACCTGCTTAATGTACGTAGACTTTTGCTGTATATGGGTAGCTTTTCAAGGCTTTGAAAGGGGCTGGGTGACTTTATGGGAGCTCTTCAAGAGATCTTCAAAGCGAGATATTACTTCTGTTGATAGGCACTTGCATAGCAAGGTACTTACTTACCTTTGCCACGCACCTACAAGTGACTCTTTTTGTGTTCTAATCATCTGCTTCAAGGAATTCAGCCATCACACGGACAGTAAGATTCGTCAAAAAAAAAAAAAAAGCTTTCCCTCGAGACCTTGATAATGTTTGCAATATCCAGTCATTTTATACCTTGCAACCCTGTGGGAAGCTCCCAAGGTCGACCAGGTTTGTCACGAGGTAAGGCAGCTGGTGTTGGTGGAAGGAGGCGCCTGCCACCTGTTTGAGCCTTGAGCTCCAAAGCCAGAGCGCGTCGATGCAACATCCAATCATTGCTCTCCTCTCAGCCCCACACGGAACTTTCCAGCTACGCGTGCTTCGACGCAACTACACTTCTTAACCATCCGTCAGAAACATTAACGCTCTCTTGGTCGACACATCTTCCGTCACCAACAGGGTGTAGAACATTAGTTGTATCATTCAAACTTTTTCTCCGATCGAATACTAAACTCTCGAATACTGTCCAAGTTGTCTCCATCTTACCGCCGAATCCGATAACCGTAAGAACCGCGACGATGAACAATCAAGGCCAGCCTGGCCAGGCCGCCGCCGGTCAAACTGTGCCTAGTGCGCGACAGCCACCCATGTATCGACCCGAGATGATGCGAAACCTTCCCATTCTGAACGACGAAGAGAAGCAGAAGTATGAGAGGGGTTTGCGCCAGTTGTGGAATCATTATGAAACGCATCCTGAGGAGTCCGCTCAACATCAAGACGCCAAGAAGAAAATCCAGGACTTTACCAAGATGCTGCTTAACAAGCTCCAGCAACGCCGCATGCAGGTTCAGCAACAGCAACAGGCTCAGCAGCAAGCCGCTCAACAGCAGCAACAGGGTGGTCAACAGGCTCAACAGCAACAGAGTCAGCCAGCGCAGTCAGCTGCCCCCGCGCAACAAGCCCAGCCGGCTCAGCAACAAGCACCGGCGGCCGCCGCCAGCCAAGCGAACGTCGGAGGCGTCACTATAAAGACCGAACCGAAGACAGAGAACACGGCGACGACGACGGCAGAGCCTGCGCATGCTCCCACGCCCGCGCCCGCTCCAGCGGCGGCAGCACCGACTCCCACTGCGCCGCAGCAGGCGCCGCAGGCGACACAGTTTCCAGATCACATCCTAGCCCATATTCGACAGATGACATTCAACCCGCCTCAGGGCATCCTAGATAAAGGCCAGGAGGCGGCTGCTCGGTGGTCCAATGACTTCAAAGCGAAATATTTGAGGGCGTTGATGCAGATGGATCAGCAGGGAATCCAGATAAGGCGGATCGATGCACACGTCAAGAATCAACAGGAGAAGGGCGCATTGGGTGCAGATGAAGCAAAGCAATTGCAAATTAGAAGGGATCATGCGCAAAAGATGCACACTGAGGCCCAGACCTTCGTCCAAAATTTCAGGAAGTCCCAGGAGGGCATCAATAAGGCGAGGGCGGCGGTGGCAGCTGCTGCCGCGGCGGGACAGACTGCGGCAAGTGCGAGCGCGGCTGCACAACAACGACCGCCTTCTCAGCAACAGCAAAACAGCCCAGCCGTCGCAGCATCGCAACCGCCCTCGACACAGCCTGGTGGTGCTCAAGCAAGCCCGGCACCGACCGCCCAGGGCACTCCGGCCACGCAAAACGCGCAGAACCCTACCACGGCAGTGAATGCCGCGATCGAGGCAGCGAAGAACCAGCAAATGACCGGCACAGCCGCCGCAGGTCAAGGCACCCCCACTCAGCAGCAACAGCAGCTGCCTCAACAACAAGTACAACAGCAACAGCTACAGCAACAACAGCAGTTGCAGCAACAACAGCAGCAGCTCCGACAGCAACAACTCCAGCAACAGCAGGCTCAGGCTGCCGCTCAAGCTGCGGCTTCCTCTGCCGCGACACCAACTACATCCCAAGCTCCTCAAGCTCAACAACCCATGGCTTCTGCGCCGCAGCAAACTATGAATCAGGGCCAACATCACCCCCCGCCAGTCAATACTGCCATCGCGTCGGTTTCCGCAGGCGGTGGACTCCCTGCGGCAGGCACACCCACCCAGCGCGTGGCGACTCCCCAGTCTGCTGCTCCTGCCGGTCCTGGTCAAGCTCTCAGCCACTCAGCCGCCGTCTCCCGCGCGAACCAGCGCAACGTCCAGACATCGGCTCCCATTCAGCAGGCCACCGGTACTCCTGGCTCGGCCGGCGCACACGCTCAGGGTGTCATGGGATCTGGAGCAGTTCCGCAACAACAACACGCGCATCCGACACAGCCAACTCAGACGTTGCAGTCTAAACTTCCGATCCCTAAGCAACTTCCAGAAAAGGCTACTTCCGTGCCTCAACCCGTGGCGATGGCGGGCGGTGCTGGCGCTGGTAGGCCTACTTACACGGGAGGTGGCGGCATTGCTGGAGGTGTCATGGGCCAGCCCGCGATTTCCAAGATCCCTGCATACGTCCATGAGGCTGAGGGCGATCACGTACTCAGCAAGAAGAAATTGGACGAGCTCGTGCGACAAGTTTGCGGCGGAAATGCCGAGGGCCAGGAGATCAACATGTTGACTCCCGAGGTCGAAGAGGTACGTGACTTATCACTGACGACCCGATGATGACAAACGTTTGCTAACTCCATTGCAGAGTGTCTTGGCCATGGCAGACAGCTTTGTCGATAACGTCCTGGAGACGGCTTGCCGCAACGCCAAAGAGCGAGGCTCAAAGGTCCTTGAGATTCGCGACATCCAGCTTGTCCTTGAACGCACTTACAATATCCGCGTCCCTGGCTACTCGTCTGACGAGCTTCGCACCGTGCGCAAGATCCAGCCCTCGACTGCCTGGATCACTAAGATGAGCGCCATCCAAGCAGCCAAGGTGACCTCGGGTAAGGGCGAGTAGTACGAACCCACCGAGAAACCGCGGCATGCTGCTGCTAGAAACCGAAGCACTGCTAGGAGAAGCACGACAAAGAGCGTCCGGTTCAATCAGGATGACGTCGGAGCACGTGCGACATCGCCGGTCAAGGCCGCCTCGTCCAAGGCGAGGTCTCGTAAATCTACATCACTGGCCAAGAAGGCTTCAACCTCGAGATCTGCTCCGACTCAGACTACTGGTCCTCCCCTCAGGCAGTTTTCGGTTGATAGCAATACCCAGCAGGCGGACTTGTCCATGGCGACACGTATGGAGGTCAACTTTCTCCCAGCAAAGAAGTAGGCTCCTCTCCAGGAGTAAGGATGATTTGACAATGGCAAATGGATTGGTTTTTATGGGCATAACGGTATGGTCTGGGAGACATGGGAAAAGGCGTTTGGGATGAACAGCAATTGCTAGTTGACTAGCAATATCTGGTGCTGCGGTGGTCATCCATCATGGCTTTCATAGTTATGGTATACCCAAATTGTTACTCGAGTCCATTCACAGTGTTCATCTAGGTCCGTCTCAGTGTTGTGGTGTCGTTAATTATGCCACAAGGAGGTAGGCCAGCAAGGTCCTCACGATGAAGGTAGCGCAGCTGGAGCCAGGTGGTGCAAAGGCGCCTCCGGTCCGATAAGACAACAGCAAGAGTAGGCACCCAGAAGCAACAGTCTGCATTCAGCTGAGCAAAAGACTCAAATATGAAGGTGGCGTTGACATTCTGACGAACCTAGCGCGTGATATAGATTCAGAGGCAGAATGGTGTTTGACGGCAACAAATCAGGAGGTTGCGTGCAATGCCAATTCAGGTGATATGCCATATTGATCAGGTACTACCTATGCCTACAGCTTCGATGGCGGGATTGGGAGCTTCGGCTACGGACCCTGAATAATTACATAATTCAGGTAGCTGGGGCGTGCATAAGTGTGGCACAAAAAAAAAGGCACCACGACGACGCAGCTGAGGCAGGCAGCATCGACAACGTCACTCCCGCTTTGGACCTGGTGGCCTTTGCCTCGTTCGGTGTTGGGGGGGTTGCTCCACGCTTTCAGCAGGCCCGGCAATCTCACTCGCTAAGTGATATCAGGTAGAGTGTACAACCTACGGTAGCTGAGTCCCCGCAAAGATGGCTGTTTCTGCCTCGCGTTGGGTCCACAATCTTGTACCCGCTACCGAGCACCGGCTAGTGTGGTGGGTGAGGTGCTTGCCCGGTCTGTGTCGTTCCCCCCCCGGCCTGGAAGCAGCAACCTAAGCCTCAGGTATTCAATCTTTGAGCTTCCATCCATCGGACCTTCCTGCATCACGAGCCAAACAGCCAAACAGCAACCACGCAATCCCATCAACGACAACCGACTCTCACAGAGCTCCGAGATCGACTCCCGCTTGTCCTGACGCTTTTTCAACCTGTGTCACCTGACTTTCTCTCCCTCAATACCTTGCTTTCAGAAGAAGCATCCGACGGGACGCCATATCTAAGCAAAACAACCCGCCCACACTCTCCTCCCCGGGCGCGACTCCACGATCATATCCGACTGCTGCCATCCCAAGCAGCACTCAACACACTGCCCACAGCATATCCACGCACACCCGGTTGAGCAAAGATGCCGGGCAAAACACCTTCACGCAGCGGGAAGGATCCCCTCGAGAACGGGGTTCGTAAGAACAACAAGGATGCCGACTCAAAGAGCAAGGGCAAGAAGGGAGCAAAGGACGGCGACGAAGAGATGACTGTTGTTGTCCCTCCGTCCAAGAAGGCGGCTGCTCCCCCGGCGGATGCTGACGGAGACGTTGCGATGGGTGACGAGGCTGGAGCAGATGAAGCAGAGGTCAAGGTTGACCCTGTGGTGCAGGCTGTAGCAGGTACGTCATGCTTTATCAGTTCTGAAGCTCTTGATCTGTCCGCAAACAAACCAGAAAGCTGACAGATGTCAATTCTACAGACATCAAGAGCAATTTCGCTCTGCTGGACCGCGCAGTCGCGCTCTTCGATGCCAGATTCTCCCTCCGAGCCCTGCGGTCGATTTCCACCATCCGCAAGCGCCTGACACCCGATATCATCGCCCAGGCCATTGCCGAGAGCTTCCCCGCGACCGTTGCCTCCGGGAATGTTGCCAAGCAGCTTCTGATTGCCATCGGTCGCGAGAACGTACCCCTCGGCCGCTCCAGCGGACCGGAGATGGAGGTAGACAGCGAGCCTGCGAAGACGAAGAACGGCCAGAAGAAGGAGGTGAAGGAGATCATCCCCGAGATTGACATCTTCCTCGGCATCCTGATTCAGGTCCACCTCTACGACACCAAGCAGTTCCAACACGGAGCCGAGTTCTCTAAGCAGCTCACTGACCGTATCCACACGCTTAACCGCCGTACACTAGACTCCCTTTCCGCCAAGGTCTACTTCTACTACTCAATGTTCTGCGAAAGCCTCGCTCCTCAGCCTCCTTCTCCCCAGTCTCCGGTCGTCGCTATTCGACCCACTCTCCTGGCTGCTCTGCGGACCGCCGTTCTCCGCAAGGATATCGACACGCAAGCCTCGGTCATTGTGCTTTTGCTTCGCAGCTATTTGTTGACGTCTCACATTGCGCAGGCCGACCTGCTCGTATCCCATACCCAGTTCCCCGAGAACGCGGCCAACAACCAGGTCGCACGCTTCCTGTACTACCTTGGACGCATCCGCGCCATTCAGCTGAGATACACCGAGGCACACGAGCACCTCACAGCTGCGACAAGAAAGGCTCCCTCAAGCGCCTGCGCGGTGGGCTTCTCACAGACGGCGACCAAGCTTCTGTTGGTGGTTGAATTGTTGATGGGTGATATTCCCGAGAGATCTACTTTCCGCCAGCCCACTTTGGAGCTCTCTCTGCACCCTTATTTCCTACTTGTTCAGGCCGTCCGGGTTGGCAAGGTCCAGAACTTCGAGACCATCATTGCGGATCACGCCGACACCTTCCGCCGCGACGGCACCTACAGCCTGATCCTCCGCCTGCGCCAGAACGTCATCAAGACTGGCATCCGCATGATGTCTTTGTCGTATTCTCGCATTTCCCTGCGCGATATCTGCATCCGCCTCGATCTTGGTAGCGAAGAGTCGGCCGAGTACATTGTTGCCAAGGCCATCCGCGATGGTGTTATCGAAGCTACCTTAGATCGCGAGCATGGATACATGAAGAGCAAGGAAGTCGGCGACGTCTACGCTACGCGAGAGCCTGGTGAAGCCTTCCACGACAGAATTCGCGCATGCTTGGCTCTCCACGATGAGAGCGTCAAGGTGAGTTTTCCAGCACACCTCCATGTGAAAATACACTCTAACAATACCGTGTTTTAGGCCATGCGATTCCCCATGAACCAGCACCGCTTGGAGTTGAAGAATGCCCAGGAGGCGCGCGAACGCGAGCGTGAGATGGCCAAGGAGATACAGGAGGGAGATCTGGACGAGGACGACCTTGGCGGCGACTTTGATGGCATGTAACAACGCTATGTCTACTTATTGTGTTATCCAAACCTTCCTACCCGGTGTGCCGACGTGCCGACCCGCAACTACAAATCCAACCAGTGGTTTAGAGACATTGCGGGCAATTTGATTTTACTGATTCATTAATGGACGGGGGGACGGCGCTAGGGGGCGGAAGAAGGGGGGGCCTATTAGCAATGATTCCGGATGCGATAGACAAGTTTCTCTTACGCTGGTCATGTTCTCGAAGGGTGCCTGCTGGTGCGGTAGAAAGGGGGCCCCAGCTCGGCTATGGTAATTAGCCACCCGGCGTGTATGTGTGAGCTGAGTTGCAGTGCATGCCATGCGGCTCTGTGTATTAAGTAACGCAAGACATGAATGAGGTTGCCAATTATTCGATGTCGCTTTTGAGGATGTTATGCTCGTGAGTTGTTTGTCACGTTTGCGCGCATGAGGCACTCTGTTGAAGCCATCACGGCGAGGAAGACTTGAGCGTGTAGTAGCGGTTGTAGTTTCCTCATCGAGTATCGTGTTGAGAGAGAGAGAAAGAGAAAGAGAGAGAGTTTTCGAGGCTACTCGCTGAGGCATATCTGTCTCTCAACTATTTAATCTCAGTCTTTTGAGTCCTCACTTGGTGCCTCGAGGCAAATAGCCAAAATCACCTTACGCCACGTCAATTGACATCATGAAGCCTTTTTGTTACCTATATAGTGAATATCTAAACACATAAAATGTGGAGCAACTAATATGTCCCAAGAGAATCTGAAATAAATAGATATACAAGAATTCACAAAAAGAACACTCGATCACAAAGGCTGTCCTTCTCGAGAACCACTAGTACGCCGAGCGATTCGGATCAGTCTTCCACCTAAGGCAGTTGTTACTCCCATAACCGCCCTGCTTACCATTCTCCCCGCCGCAATTACAGCTATCGACGGGCGTCTTGAAGTAGCGCGTACACTCGTCCATGCTGAACGTCCACGAGCAGCCGTCGAGCACCTCGAAGCTGAAGCTAATCTCCTCCTGTCCAGAAAAGGGCTTGATGGACTCCTTCTTGTATCCGCCCATGAGCTGCTGCTGCCCGGCGGCGGCCCTGCCATCTAGGTCGCGGGCCTGGACGCCAACGTCGGAGCCAATGTTCTTGCAGAAGGAGTTGATGCCGTTCTGCAGCCGGATGTTGCTCATCTTGCGCCCCTCGCCGTAGCATTTCACATTGTTGTGCTTGGCGTCGGCCTGCTTGAGCGGCTTTGCTGTGGGCTGGGAAGGCTGAGTCGTCTGCGCCCTGGTGGTGGTGGTCTTCGATTCAAGCGGCTGTTCGCACATGCGCCCAAGCTCACTCAACATTGAGCCCCAGGGGAAAAACCCAGGCAGGCTCATGGTGCCGTTGTTTGAAATCTTGGGGACGTCCCATCCAGTGCCGTCACCCATCGGCATCTGTCCCGAGTCGTTGTTGTTTCCACCCCTTCCCGGGCAGTCCAACATGTCCATGTCGTAGTAACTGGGCGACTCGGCAGCCTGCCGGCACATCCAGTCCTTGAGGCGATCGTCCAGCTCTTTGTTGGGGTCTACAGCGGCGGCCATGCGCGGCCGGAGGGCTTTTGCTGGCCAGGCGCCGTTTTGCGGCGGTGGCGAGCCAGGCTCGATGGACGGAGGCTGCGTCGGATAAGGCGCTTTAGGGCTCGCCGTTGACTCTTTACCATTCGGGCCGTTGTAAATAACGACGGGCCAAGCGGCAGTCGTAGCGGGAACGGGCCAGAAGTCCTCAAAGGCTCGGCGGTTCAGGCTGCCACTGTCCCTCTTCACGTTGGAACCCCCGATGGTCATTACCTCGAAGCCCAACTTGGATAGCGTCATGGGCCGCACCGTAATTGTACTCGTCCACGCGTCCTGGCTGACGGTCATGAGTGGGTAATTGACGGTAGTAGTCGCCCCTGTATATGGCGGAATCTTGACACGACAGGGTGGCTCGCAAGAGAATTCAGGTTGTTCCATATCCCAAATAGACGGGTCAAGCCAGAGGATGTCGTTATACTGCTCTCCGTCGCTAGTGACGTCGAGCAGCGATATCTGCGACCAGAAGGGGTGCGCATCGATGTTGAGGTTGTCCTTGGCCGCAATGCCCTTGCCGTCCATAATGACCATATACTTGGCGCCTATCGTAACGAGATGCTCCCATCGCACGCTAGCATGGTTTCCCTTAAGAAGAACCAGTGCCTTCTGGCACAGCTGTCCGCCAATACAATCTTGGGCGTAGGTCGAGAACCACGAATACAGGCCAGCGCCAGCAATGACGATATCCTCGCAGCCGCGCATCACAACGGCCCACGATTCATCGCAACCACTGAACTCGTCGCCAACGGCGCAGGAGTAGTCCGGGTCACCAGGGAAGAGGCCGACGGAGCTAGTGAAAGGGGCAGGCGGGCTTGGGGTTGGCTGGTAGTACGGTGACTCTGTTTGGATCATGGCGGCGAAGACACTCGCGGCATTGTGGAAGTTGTATTGGTACATGATCGCGTGCTCCGATGCCGTGCCGTAGAGCCATGTGGGCTCGGTGCTCTCGATAAGCAGGCCGCGAGCAACGTATATCGAGTTCTGTACCATGGTGTTGTTGGCGTCTTCCAGGTCTGGGTCATCAATTAGATGGTCAGCCACCCACAGCCACATGTTCTCGAAGTATCCCGATGCGCCTGGCTTAATGTGCATCATCAGACTAGCAGCATTGCAGCCCGGGGCGATGCCAGAAGCCAGAGCTGGGCACTCCGTAGGCGTCAGATCGGTGCCCGTCGCACCGCCGATCCGGACGTGGCAGTCCCAGAGGGCCGCTGATCCCTTTGCATCAGCAGCCATATTCCACTCAATGAGCACGGCGCCAGCTGTCGGGCCCTTTGTAGTAAAAATAAGGTCCTGCATCTCGACGTTGCCGACCTGGCCAGGGCGACCCACGCGAAGCATTGGGGTAGGCTTACTCTCGTCGGAGAAGGCCGGACCTTGGGCCACGATCTGCGACCACGTCTCGCCGACCATCTTGACGCCGGCTGGTACTGTCACGGTCCCCGTCAAAATATACGAGCCGGCATCGACGAATAAGATGCTGCCCTGGCTTGAATCGACGGCCAGCTGGAAGGCAGCCGTGTCGTCCGTTATGCCGTCGCCCATAGCGCCAAAGTCCCTAACGTGAAGGAAGTCGCCCACGCCGCGGTCCTCGTATTGTGGCTTGGGACGCTCATAATAGGCACCCTGAGCGTCCAGAAGCGCGCTATCTCTGCGATACTTGCCGACCTTGCCACCAGATGAGAATGAGCGTGTACCATCATCGGCTGAGCTCGAATATACGGGGCCCAGTACCCACTCGTCAAGCCTCGTAGACGCGGCCAGCAGGGTGCGGCCATTCGTGTCAGCGACGGCGGTGGTGACACCCGACATGGCGATGTTCTCGAGTACGAGACCAGTGCTTCCGGAACCTGGTTTGGATGACGGCGGCTGAATAACGACGACGGTACCGACGTTCGTGAAGGACGAATCCATAATCAGCGATGACCCTATGCTGCCGTCGGGATAATCAGGCACAAACTTGAAGCCTGTCTTCACGTCGGTCATGGTTATTGACTTCCACACCCAACCCCAGTCCCAGATAACCTGAACGCCGACGTCACAACCACTGAAGACAAGCCGCTGGGCGGTAAATTGCTGCTCGCCGCCGTACAGACAGACGTCGCCACCTACAAATGTGACGTCGGAGATGCCGCCGCCGCTGCCATTTTCGGCAAAGAGGCCCTTCTGCCCTGCACCGGCCCGCAGCTCGACGTTCTGCATACTAGTAGCCTGGGCCACCTGGTAGTGTAGGCATGCCGCCTCCTCAGAGGGCGGTGCTGGGCGGACGTCGATAATGACGTTGCGGATCTGACGATAGAAATTGGCCGTATTTACATACCACTGCTGGTCGTGCCCGTCGGCGCCAGTCCCGCCGCCTGTGTATTCGTCTGTGGAAAGCACCCCGAGACCAATGAAGGTCTTGGAGGCGACCAGCACTGGTCGGTTGATGGCATCACCGATGACCTGCGTGCCGAAGGGAAGAGGCACCGTGCTGGATATGAGATACGTGCCGGGTGGGAAGTAGACGATGGCATTCTTGACCGTCGACCCGTTGCATTTCTCACCACAACGCCGGCCATCGTTCATGGCCCGCTTGATGGCGGCAGTATCGTCAGTCACGCCGTTGCCCGTGGCGCCATAGTCGAGCACGTTGCGGAACACAGCGTACGAGGGTTCATCGCCCCAGGGGACAATGCCCTTGCGAGCGATAGACTCCATCCAGTACGAGCCGGCGGCCGCGCGGCGTGTGATGTTGCGGCTGGGAACCTTAACACCGTCCTGGGGCATATCAGCCTCGGCCTCGGCCAGGAGTGCGGCGGCCCAGGCAATCTCGTCAGTAATCTCGAGGAGCGGGGGTGGTTCGGGGTCGTCGCGGCGGGTGCGGCGGGTCTCGTTCACAATTGCTCCGCCGATGACAGTACCGGGCTTGAGTCTGTATTGATTTCGCAGTGGGCTATTCAGACGGGCCTTGTTGAGCTTGGACGAGGCCGCGATGGCGATTGTCACGATGCCACGGGCTTTTTCGAGATCACTTGACGAAGCCGCGTTTAGGAGAGGCTTTGCGCGTTCATGAATGGCTGCCGGTACCTTTTCCCCCTGCCGTTTCGGCTTCTCGAAGCGTCGCGACGTTTTATTGTTGGTGTGTAGGTCGCCTGAGCCAGCCGACCGCATCCGCAAATCAGTCATGTCCCTAAAAGTCGGCTCAGCTGTCACAGAGGAGTCGTTGAATTCGGCCGGGATATATTCGACGACACGATAATGGCCGGCGCGCATGCGTCTCAATGCCTCCTCAAAGCTGGGGCCGTACCGTGAATGGGGCACCCGCGTCGGCTCGTTCGGGTTCCCATCTTCGTCCGGGTTGGTGATATTGAGCCCGCGCTTCCTTGCTTGAGAAATGAATTCATGGTTACTATCCATGCCAGTAGTAGTATCTGTCTTGAAGACCACGGCTGCGTTGCCGTCGGGCCCCATGTCCATGGCAGCGAAGCGGAAGAAGGCAGTATCCCTCTGCGGGTTGCGGGGATCGTGCCACGTAAACTCATTGTTGCGGGCTTCGATTCTGCTGAGAAGGACGTCGCGGAGCGTCTTGTGCGATCTAGCCTGCCAGTCCTGCTCGGCCTTTACGGAAACGCGGTTACCGTTGACGACAACAGCGAAGGGGTCAAGACAGGCATGACCAGCGCACCGAGTGTTGGCAGGTTGGTTGTTAGCCCAGCCGCTGCCACCCTCGACCCAGGTAGCAGGGGGGAACTCATCGCAGGTATAGCGCATCCCGGACCTCTTGATGATGTTTTTGGTCTGACTGTCGCGTTCATGTTTGAGCATGTTTGTGTTGCCGACGGCCTCGACATCCTTGGTCCACCAGGGGCCGTCGTGGCGGAAGGGAACCTTCGTGCTCGGCTCGGGGCAGTTCCGCGCTTTACCCCAACTTTTGGGGCAAGACTTCTCCCTGCGGCCGGACTGGTGAGTCCAGCTTTCTTCACCGGTATCAAAGTCGTAGGTGAACTGGTCAGCGGGGATGGTCGTGCCAGGGTGGAGGTTCTGGCCGCGGGGGGAGCTCAGGAAGGTGTCAACGTTGTCGCAGATGTTGTTCATGTAGTAGCAATTGTAATAGAGATAGATGATTTCGGTGCGGCCAAGGTCGATAACATTACGCCAGGCGGCCCGGTTGTCAGGGACGGCCTTGCTGAGAAATTGTGAGCATGCCGTCTACCATGAGTATACTGCGGAATAGAAGGCACAGAAACAGAAGACGGAGAGAGACTCACTATCTGTAGCCATCGTATTGGATGTTGGTCGCAGGATTAGTGATACGGGTGCGGTCCAAATTCTGCAAGTACTGTGCATTTGCCTGGCTAGAGTTTTGATCTAAAGCGAGCAGAACCGAGAGGCACACAGCGAGGGCGGAATGCCGCAAAACCATGGCGATGGATGTATTTGATACTGTAGCAATCTTCGGGTGGAAGCACTAGGCGTTGCTAGATGACGGGCTTTCTGATCTTGCTCGTTCCTTGTCAGCCACGAGCTGTCGAGACGTCCAGCCTGATACCGATAACGAGACGGATGCTGGTCCTGGCTTCCTGGCCAGCCGTACCGAGATCGAGGACATTCGCCGATATAAGTAAGCCTCCTTTTGCACATGCGCGTCTCAGCTCGGCCTTGGTTTAGGGTAGCTGAATACCTCACATCGTGTAAGTCCGGAGAGGGGAGAAATGATACTGCTGTGCCCTGTTCATTTTGCCTCCCCTCCACCTTCCAATGTCGGATTCTGCAGAGCAACCCATGTTGCGGTGCGTCCGGATAATCTTCAATCACCAACGGCGGTTGAGGCGACTGGGCAAGGGTCTTTGTCATTTCCTCGAATGCAAGGGGGAGGGGCGGGAAGGAACTTTCACAGGACATGCTTAAATTATGGACCCATTGCTGTCCGTGCCTAGGTAGGTACCTCACTCGGCCATCCTGTTCCGCGCAAGACCCACCACTAACAGTCCTATCCGGAAGCCGGGGCAGTCTTGCCTGGTTGGCAACAACTTTGGTTGGCGGGCAGACTCGGGATAGCTACGTACATTTTAGATTGCTTCTTGGAAGTCGCGGTCCGTCCCGCTCTTTAACGGCACAAAATGAGCCTATTGCCTAAACTGTGCCACACGAATCATCCGATTTCACCGTTTTCAACTGTAACTCCACAAGGAAGTAGTCACCCGATCAGTACTGTGCCTCATGGTTACATACTTTTATCATGACTCACCTGCTACTTATGACAAGTTCGTGCTGGACTAAGATGATGAACCGTGGCACTGTCTTAAAAAGGTAGGTACGATGTTGCCTGCCCCGCCGATTCGTTGAAAGGACTGTTCAGGTGCTCCGTCGTCGAGAAGCAAAGCGGGCTCTAGGCTCTCGACTCAACACCACCAACGCCAAGATCCAAATTGCCCACAACACAAGCCAATCAACAGAGAATTGCGGAAAATCTCTTCATATCTGTCGCAGGGGAGCTCTCAGCCGTGCCGCTCGTACAGGAAATGAAGATATGCAGTGGCGGTACCGAGCGGCGCAGGGCAATGGGAGCGCGGCAAGAATGGAGGTCCTTGAGGCCGATCGAGCCCTTTTAACTATCAATCCGAACCCCCGAGGTCGAATAGGGCTCCGTTAGAACCTCCTTCTGCAGACAGACCGTTCGTACAAGCTGCAAGCACGAGAGGATACCATGGAGTCGTTCAATTTCGGTGCTGCAATCTCGCGCCCCGGTGCCGTCCTTTCGCTGGCCATGGCCTCCTCTCTTGTCTTGTCACATCTCTCCTCAGCTCAAGATGGGAAGTCATGCCAGCCTTATACTTGGGATTCCCTTTCTCAGATGCGCATTGCCGCGGCCGATGACGACTCCGGGCCAACTGAAGGTACCCTTATCATCGTTAACCCGGGCGAGGTCAACTGCCGGTACTGGACCGATACCCCAAAAGATGTTAGCTATTACACATGTTCGGAGCTTGCTCAGCGCTACGATATGCCCAGCGACCTTTTCTTCACTTTGAACCCAAGTCTTGATAGGGACTGCGGTAACATCAAGCCCCAAACCGAGTACTGCGTCTCAGGATGTGAGTGCCTACTACCACTAGGCGCGAATATGCGTTTCATGATATCGACTAACTATTTGACCTAGTTATTGAGCCCATTAGGGCTGTTGATGGTCTCTGCGGCCCTCGTCATAACAACGCTACCTGTCTCGGAACCGACAAGCAGTGCTGCAACTCGGAGACGTGGACCTGCGGCGATTCGACGTATGTGGCCGTACCCCAATGTGATGAATTACCTTAGCTACAAGAGATTAACACGACATATTGACCCCTAGCGAGGACTGCGCCCCTGGAACCTGCTACGAGGGCGACTGCGTGGGCGATACTGTCTATAGCACCGACGGTACATGTGGACAGGACTACGGCTTCCGCGTCTGCGCTGGCCGCTGGGGAAGTTGCTGCAGCCTAGACGGTCGATGCGGCACGGGCGACGCTTTCTGTGGTCTCTTTGCCTGCCAGGATGGGGACTGCGACATTTGGAAGCAGGACGAACAGCCGGCCGGCACAAAGTGGACGAAAGACGGTACCTGCGGTGGCGCGGAGGGAATGAGGTGCTCGGCCGAGTGGGGGAGGTGCTGCAACGTGAACGGTATTTGCGGTGAGAAGCCTGCCGACTGTCATATTGAGAGAGGGTGGTGAGTCTCGAATTCCATCTTTGGCCAATGTGGTAAAACTGACGTCCACGCAGCCAGGACGGGTTTGGAATCTGTGCCTCGACTTCGACATCTCCCGTGTCCACACTCACATCCGCTTCGTCCACGCCTGCGGTCATTTCGACGTCCACGGTCCCAGGAACCTCGACTCTGGGGACCACCGGGACCTCTGTGACAACCACAAGCACCTCCACAGCGGCTCCCTTTCCTGCCTGTACCGGCGGCTCGAACGCGATAGGTATCACAGAAAACCTCAAGGGCTTGTGATCATACAGCTGTGACTTCAATCACTGTCCTGCTGGTGCATGCGTCTGCACGGGGCCCGCCTCAGAGCCGGCTGACGGTATACCGGAACTGACAGGGCGCCACGGCTGTCCAGATGATAATGTCACTGAGAATCTAGCCTATTATGAGGACCTCTGCGAGTTTACTTGTAGCCACGGATATTGCCCGTCCGGTGCCTGCAAGTACTGTTGAGACAGGTTATTGAAGCGATTGCTTGATGCCCTTCGGTAGTAAGGCTCTGGAGTTGTGGGGAGCTGGACCTTCTAGACCTTCTACACAAGCTGTGAGCCATCGCAGTAAATGAGCAAGTATCACACATTTGTGCTGGAACTCTCATCTTTCAATATTTTAGTTATCGTGGGCTAGGAAAATGGGAAAAGTGCGATGAATAATGGAATACACATGTACACAGCAGATGAACCAGCCTATCTCAATTTCCCCCTTCTTGGCGGAGCCTTTCCAGCTCACGTATTCGAGCCGCAGATCTCGCCTTCATTCTCTCCATGACTTTTCGCGAGGCCTCCTGGTCCTCAGCTAAGGTCATTTCGACCGCTCGCGGTGGGCTGGGCTTTCTGTGCCATTGAGCCCACCCGTCTTCAGTCCCGATTCTAATCGGCCCACCGAACAAATGGACGGCCAAACTGGTTTCGGACGTCCACAAAACCTTCCCCGCCTGGCGTTCGAGCTTTCCCAAGGCGTCTAGAATCCTCTCGCGCATGCCCATGAGCCACGGGTGCACGACAGAGATGTACTCGTGTATCGTGAGAAAGGTACCCGCCGTCGTCACCTCAAGCTGAACGTCTTTAGCCCGGGGCCGGTTGGGATCCGTCAAGGTATCTGCAACGCAGTAGCGATTCAACTCGACCCAGAGCTCTTCCCATGAGTCGAGTGCCTCGACTCGGACGGTGACGGTTGTGACGGGGGGCGCCATGAGAGACTCTTGCGATACAGGGTGCCAGCTCGGCTCGAGACCGCTCGCAGATTCTTCGGCAGATATAGGGCGAAAGTAGGGCTCCATCACGTCCCCTGGCTCGTAATAGTGGTTTGGCGTGACCTGAATTGCGCTCTCGAGAGGGCCATTGAGCGTCCAGAAAAGTCGCTTGGTGGCTGGTGTGAGCATTTTGAAGTCCGGGTACTCAGGGAGGATTCTCTCCAGCAGGGTGGCGACGGAGGGCTCTGTCCATTCCTCCATGATTTAGTTTCGCGTACGTTTGTGTGAGTGTGTGAGTGTGTGTGAATATTTGTGTATGATCTGAAGCGAGTTGGTTTACAGATGAACAGGAAGGGAAGTGGTGTAAACGGACCGTTTTGTATTAGGTAAAAGTCCGCTAGCCTTCTTGGGACACCGTTATGCGAAGCGCCAAGCACGATACATACTGCGAGAAACGGTGGAAACAGAATCTGGCATTAACAACTTACAAGTGATTTGGCCGCCCCTCAACGCGCAAATCAGCGTTTAAAGTCTTGTATTACTGCTTGATGTATTGCCTGCCAATTCTTGAAATGCGAATTGACGGCGTAGCCTTTAGATACCTGAAGCGATGCAATTTGCAGGCATTCGACTTTTTACAATATTGAGGGCTACCAACATAACGATGGTCCTTCATAAGCTAGTTTTCAAGAGCAGAGCCATTGCGGTTCAGCTACTAATCAGGCATTCTAGTGTGCTGCATCGTCCGCGGCCTTGACCTGGTACACAAAGTTGGAGGATGAAGACAACCCCTTTGCCATGATAGGTTCCATATCAAGGCCTGGTGACAATTCAGTTGCCTACAAAATCTGAATCAGTGCAGTCTTGTGAGGGATTTCCGGGTGGGGGGAAAAGGGCTTTGCGAATACTTACCTTGTCAACTACCTCGGATTCGAGACCTCGCTGTCGCATATCCACCGCGAGCTGAACTGCTGTAGACTTCGTGACGGGATTATTCCACGCCTTGGCGGCTAGTATGATGATGCGAAGGATAAAATCAAGGTTATCCTGCCGTCGATAGTCTTGAGCGGACGTATCCCAGTTTTCGAGGAACACGAGAGAGGCTGTGTATATGGAGAAGGTCATCATGGGATTCTTGAGCGTCTGCGTGATATCAGGCATCATTCGGATGATGTTCAGAATCTCTTCGGCGGCGCAAATCAATCTCGCCTGGCTCTGCTTCGCCATGTGCTCCGGCAGTCCGGACGGCTCTATCCTGGCGAGAGCTGCTCTATGTAGCAAAATGACCGACGTGTGGATGATGGCGTTGACAAAGGTGGCGTTGCGGCTTTGGATATTCCGGGGGAGCGTCAGGTCGTCCGGGAGGGCGGCAAGGAGACCTACTAGGTCGTTGTCGATCTCACGGTGGCGTTTCCAGTTCCGACTTGTACGTGGGTCGGTGAGGCCATCGTCTGGTAATGTCCGTGTCGAGTGCTGAAAG